GCCGCCAATGTGTTGGTGCCGTTCATCTGTACGACACTATCACCACTACTACTACTACTGCTATCACTGGAGTCGGTGTCGGCGCCCATAACAGTCCTCATTCGACTCATTTCGGAGATGGCGTTATAGAGCTCTTCCCCGGAGACAAAGTTGGAGTCATCCGAGTCTGAGCTCGAAGACGATGAGCCCACGGGAAGCACTTCATTGAATACTAGATCGCTTTGATTCGCTAAGAAACGAAGTCTTCGGTAATTACGGTGATTGTCGGTCTTCGGGCCGTCGGTGGGAGTGGTTTGACAATTGACTTTTTGGGCCAAATAATCCAATTTGTGTTTCACGTCTTCGAGTCTCTGCTTCTGCGCTTCTGAGTTGCAATTCTTGGTCATATCGTATTTGCTTTTAGTGTTGCATCGCTTCTGATAGCGTTTCAACTTCTTCCTAGTCATCCGAACGGCAACTCTAATCAATTTCTTCAACTGTTCCCTCTTTTTCTCACTTATCAGTTCTGATATGCGATTCAAACTTGTTTTGTCAGTCGTATTGTCGTCGCTATCATTCAACAGCCGATCCCTAATCGCTTTGGCAGGTGTTGTGACCGACTCTGCTGTCGATGTGGTCGCCGTCTGGCCGTCCGATGATTCACAGCTCCGTTTGTTTGGTTTTTGTTCATTGGAATCAATCCTTTTCGATATGATATCCAAGTATTTAAAGTAATGACTGTTTAAGTCGTCGATCGAGTCGTCGTTATCAGAGTTGTGAGAACTGGAATTAGAGCTCCGATCGTCGTCCGAGTCGTGAACTGTATTCCAACAGAGCTCATAGAAATTGGTCTCACCGTCAATGCTATTACTCGAGTCCGAAGTCCAGCCCTCGATGTCTCTCTGGACCAGAGAGTCAAAGAAGGCCATCATTCGGGGGTCTTCTTGAACCGATTGGTGGCTATAGTCATGTGTGACGAACTGTCCGCTCTCTAACACCAGATTAATGTAGTCCTCGTGGCTGAACACCTGTCGGTGCTCTTTGTAAGTAGGCTTCGTCTGGAGACTACCCGAGCCCTCAGGCAATGGGAAACTACTCCACAGTTTGATTACTTTCTCCACACCAGAAGATGCGATCACAGCATTGGTATAGTTATATCGCACTTGATTTACGATTGATCTGTTCATACATTCAATCAAACAATTAGTTAACTAAAGTATAATTTAAAGCACACGTGTTGTCCAAACCTGTGTCCATTGAGGATTAGGTCCGCGCTCTCCACCCAAACAGAATCCGGAGAATTTGATTCTCCGTTTTGATAGACCTGTTCGGGAATTTGCCACATATAGAGCTTAAAGTCGTCCGAACCCGAGAGCACGTATTGGTCGGAATCGCCGCCGAAGCAGCAGCTCTTCATTGTGCACGAGTTGTAATAACCCGAGTCATCGAACTCTACGATCGGATACGAGGACCGAAGGTTGTAGAGGACGGGCGGCAAACGGCGTCTGAGGGCTAGTATTAAAGTCCCGGTTTTATTAAACCGGACGCTCATCGCTGACTGCGAGGACAGTAACGACGAGTTGTATTGCTGTAAAACACACAGCGGTTTGCGGACATCCCAGACGGCGATCCCCTCTTTAGTGTTGGCCGTCGCCAACAGTCGGCTCTCAAACGGGTTATACATAACGGCGTGAAAAGCCGACGAATATCGGGCCAATACAGTGGTCTCGCGGACAGTCTCTTTGCGCAGATCCCATAGACATACTCTTCCGTCATCGCAAGCGCTGGCGAACACATTGTCGTCGAAAGGGTTGACCGAAAGGCCGTAAATGGCGTCGTTGTGAAGGATAACATCGACGGTCTCACCCGTCACCGAGTCGTGAATCATCACCAGTTCATCGTTTCCGGCGCTGAAGAGTCGATGGCATTGAGAGTCAAATCCGAGACAAAAGATATTCGAGTTGTGTTCGCCTTTCATGATCTGCGGCTCACCCGCTCCTGAGGTATGCAACAGACATCGGGTCAGACATAATGGTTAGGTGTTTATCATATAAGCCATCAAATGAAGGCACATAAGTGTTGAATCAATCAATTCATTGATTACATAAGCATTTAATATAAGATATGAGTAAAGCATTGAAAACATCAAAAGCAATGCCTTTTCACTTCAAAGTACACCAAAAATGGTATGTTTTATGCAATCATTAAATCAATTAAAACGCGACAATTGATCACATATTGACTACAGACCTGATATAGCCTTCTGGACATCCCATAAGAGTATCCGTCTGTCGTCACCACCTTTGAGGAGCACATGAAAGAGAGACGCAAACAAAACATACATATAGTGTGACTGCGATAGCAATGCTAGGGATGTGATGGACGAAGACATACCGGACACGAGATACTGGCCGTTGTCCGAGAACTCGATGGCGTTGACGCAGCCGTAGTGCGAGAACAGATCCTTATGGTAGAGGTCTTGGGCCGACTCGAAGCGACTCCTCAACAGATCGGTCGAGTATTTGCGACACAAGAGATCGTTGTATTCACGCGACAACACATTGCGTGTCGTGTTCTTCAGCCGTCGCCACGACATGGCCTCCGATGCGACTGATTCTTCGCTTTGGATCTATTCTCGTGATTAGTGTTGGATGTGATGATCGGATGAATGGATGGATGTGTTTGGATGTGTTGTTTAGGGAAAGCAATGCATTTTGAATGACAGACAAACGCCTGAATACAAGAGATGTGTTGTGAGAATGTCTTCAATGCTTCCCAACAATCACTACAACTCTCTCTCAATATCTCTATATAAACATCACATGAACTGAACGCCAGACAACACGTCCGCAAACACACGTGGGTTGAGACCAATGCCTCTCATTTCGTGCCATTTGTCTCGTCATTACTCGCGTTATCGCCACTAAAAAGGGATCTATTTGTGAGTGTTTTGTGTGACGACTGTTATGAACGACTCGTCCATTGGTTTTCATGCATTACGTGTGTTATAAATGTTTGCCTCAAGTTTTTTAAATCCCTTTAAATCTGATTTTTGTGGCATTTAATTGATTTGACCGTCACTTCAATGCAAACACATTTGGCGTTAATATTTTGTACAATATCTTTATTTTTCACAAATTAAGCGTAAAATTAAAATATTTTTTTATTAAAAGAAAGTCAAGAATTTAAAGAAACCCAAGAATTTGATACAGAAATTTAGTCTAACAGTCTATGAAAAGTTATATAAATAATTGTTATAATTATAGGCAATAAAATATAGTTAAAGTTAATATATATTAAAGTCGAGATCGTGTGGCAGCGGTTGACGTTTCGTCGTCATCGATGTCTGTATTACCACTGAATGGCAATTGAGTGTAAGATATAATTATTTCTGCTTTGACTACAACTGAGATAATGATGAGGAAAACTGTGATAAACACATGGAAAACAACACTACAAATAACGATGGCATTAGTGGTCCCATCTTTATCTCCGGGCATCAAAAAGACACTAACGATTCCGGAGACGACACCAATGATGACACATAAACTCAAACAGATATAACAGACACAGCGCCACAATTGTGAGCCATAGCTTTGGTGGTAATAGGCTTTAATAGCGTACCGATAGGTCAGTACAACCACTACTTGTATGGCCAAAGAGCACACGAATGAGATGAGGGCACCGAAGTCCATGTTCTTGTTGTTAGAGTTGTTAAGGAGTATAGAAATTGCATTAAACAAAAGCAATAAATTCAACGACAAGAAGACAATGATAGCCACTTCAGTCACTTCCACTTCTTTGAATACGTGGATCTCTTCATGAAAGTCTCCCTTCAACTCCATTGGTTGCAATTTAAACTGTGGTTCGTCTTTGGTTTTGGCTGGAGTTTGATATTCGATATACTCTTCGATTTTCCCGAAACAACTGACCCTTTCATCGATGCCAATGATCTCAATGTGTTCGACACGAACTGCTTGTTCTCTATTGGCTGAGCTGACCATATCTATGAAGGCCATAGTGTCCAGTGATTGGGTTCGGTTGAGTATAGCCGCCACACAGACTGGATTGTCATCTCCTCGACCCTTATATTTGGACAATTTGACGGTAAAACTGGTCTCATATACGACTACTTTCTTCCCGTTGTGAGTCATCTCTCCATAGATACGAGTGGTTAGGGTTTGTTTGCTTAGATCAAGCTTTGGTCGTTCACTGGCATCGGGTCCTGGTTTTGGATCACGTGGTAAATCAAAGTAAATTCTCACTAAATATCTGTATTTCACTTCATTTGGAGAGCAATTGTCGTAAATATTATAGAAATCTCGGGACAAATAGCAAATGGAAAGCAATACTAATGCAAACAATACAATCCAAATACACATCATTAGCATTAAAGGCCAATATTGCAAAACCTGTGAAACTTCTAAAACCATTGTATTATTTGTGATAATCTAAGCGTTTGTTTGGCAAAAGAAATTCAGATCTTATTCTCTGTTAACAGAATTGGTATTCAATTAACGGTTAGAAGAATTGCAGCAAAAAGTCAACGATTACTGCAATCAAATCATTTGATTTCTATATCTCGTGCTAACAATACAATTGAAGTAAACAATAAATAACTATAAATTTGGTTCAAATGTGTTTGAAATGCTTTTAAGTCCACAAAAAGTGTTATTTAATGCGAAAAAGTTGTCCTCAAAAGGAAATGACCACAAGTTTTACAACTGGTCTATAGTTTTGCCGACAAATTAAGCGCAAAAAAGTTTACAAAAAAGTTTTGGACAACAGATTGCGCTCTCATTCACACGTTTTGCACACAAATTGTCACTCAATTTGTTTGCGTTTATTTACAACCGATTAGTGAACACTCGTTATAATGAATGACTTGAAAGGTATGTAAATAATGAGTGATTAACTGTTTGTCTGTCAATCACTGTCTGGACTAATACTGTATGTCTTGAGCGCAGACAACAACTCACTGCACATCAGTTGGTGTGACAGTCAATGGCTTCCAGGTCTCGGCCAACACAATGTCTTGGAGTACTTCAGCGAGAGATCCAACCCTTTCTACGACAGGACCTGTAATAACGAGATCCTTAAAATGCAGAGATTGGCCACCGATCAGCTCAGGTATGTCTTTGTCTATATATGTGCTGTCAGCCATTGGCCGATCACCACAATCACTTCCAATGATATACAGTACTTGTGGTCACTAATGGTTTGGTTGCGTTGACAGCAAATTTCAAGGCATTGAATACATACTACTTCACTGTCAAGAGCCGATCCTATACGTGATCCGCAAACAGGAGCGCCACTCGCCATCTCAGGCCACACCCATCGCCGACTACTACATCATCGCCGGTGTTGTATATCAGGCGCCGGACTTGCATTCGCTGATCAACGCCCGCATACTTTCCACGTGTCATCACTTGTCCTCCGCTTTCGAAGAGTCCTATTCCTACTCCCGATACCACCCGTCCAAAGGCTATTGGTTTGAGTTTAGCAAAGATGGCGACAAAGAGGGCAATAAAGACAAGAGCGAGAAGACCACCAAAGAGAAGGTCAAAGAGGAGATGAATAGTAGCACTAAATTTCAACGAAAGAGAGTCGACATATTGTTGAGTGAATTGACCAAAAAATTTCCACCGAAACACATCCAACAGACACCGCAACAGCCGCTCACCAACGATAAGACCGCCGCCACGACCTCCGCAGACACCGAAGTCAAAGTGGAGCCCAAAACAGAGAAACCCGAGACCACAGCCGCCGCTCAGAGCGCGCCCACAACTACTGGACGGCGAGCGGCCGACACCAGTGCCGGCGGTCCGCCCGAGAAGAGACAGAGACTAAATTGAGGATTAAGTGTTGTGTATATAAGACTCATATAAGAGGTGTCACTCATTGTCTTTATATTGTGTTGTATTTTCTAATCTTATACTCAAAACCTTATTTAATAATAATTTATTAATTCAATAAATAGTTAATAATTGGCTTATATTTCAAATCTGAAAATGACTTTAAAATTATGTATTTAAATATTAAAGCATTACTTTTTACGGTGTATTCAACGAAATGATTACTAAATCTTTAAATTTAAGCTAAAGATTATGGTTTACGGCTCGCGAATAGAGTCTACGAAATGTTTTTATGTACAAATAACAACAAATTTTCAAACAAAACTAGTTATTAATACTATTATAATAAAATTTTACGAGATTTTCAATTTATTTTCCTTGAATTCCGAGTTTAACTGTTAGTTGGAAATAATTAAATAAATTTT